CCGTCGACGGCCGACGTCGACCACCGTCGATCGCCGTGGACCACCTTCGCCCTCCATCGTCGACCACCGCCGACCACCGTGGACCACTGTCGGCCTCCATCGTCGACCGTCGTCGATCTCCGACGACCACCGCTGACCTCAAAAGACCACCGTCGACCATCGTCGACCACCGCTGACCGTAGTAAACCTCCACCTACCGTCATCAATCACTACCAACCAGACAGCGTCATTCAACACTGTAATCTAAAAAATATAGTTACCCTTTCCTGTCTGTGGGACAAGGGATTTCTGTAATCACCAATCAATAGTTGATTTCCGCAACTGGGTCAGACCTAGTGATTTTTTCCTAATAGGTTTTTCATGTAAAAACTTATGGAGTCATCACGGGTTTTTACTATTTCATCTATGTGTGTGTCGAACTTTCGTACAACGCAAAGACAATAATTTGTTACTCTACCGCCGCAAATTTTCTAGTACGCATCAATTTGGCGCAATCTATTTAAACAGGGGAGCAACTGATACACAACCAACAAATTTTCATCATCCAACTCGAATCTCGAGGCATTGCATGAATCTCGAGATGATATTTTAAGCAAAAAACTTTCAAATCTTGATAAAAAGTCATCCAGAGCTTCAATTTTAGCAAACTCATGTTCAATGAGTCAAACCTAATGATATGAAAACTAGCACAATCCAAGTCAAATCAAGCCCAAATCAAGTCATTAAACCACAGTTAGAAGATTTATTAATACATTTGAAAAGTCAAACGGTTGTCAAATATGGCAAGTTTATACTCAAATCGAGCGGCTCAACAAGACGAATCTAACGAGCCCAAGATCACTCAATTAGGGCATCATTAAGACACTCAAATGTTCATTAAACGTCGTATAATTGAGGGAAGCTCTTTAGACTGTCCGATCAAAATAGTTTATATTCATGCATTAATTGCACTTAGAACACTATAAATAGAGTCACATCCCTCTTATGAGAGGGGAAGAAGTTTAGAGAGAGCTTGAGGTTTTGAGGAGAAGGTGCAGCTTAGCATCATTACCAATCGTCATCGACCACCCCGTCATCGCCCACCATCGCCCTCTATCGTCGCCCACCGTCGACCGTCGTCAACCTCCACCTACCGTCATCAATTACCACCAACCAAACACCGTCAAATTTGAAAGACTCGGACTGTCCGATCAAAATAGTTTATATTCATGCATTAATTGCACCTAGAACACTATAAATAGAGCCACATCCCTCTTATGAGAGGGGAGGAAGTTTAGAGAGAGCTTGAGGTCTTGAGGAGAAGCTGCAGCTTAGCATCATCACCAATCGTCATCGACCACCATCGACCTCTATCGTCGACCACCGTCGACCGTCGTCATCAATTACCACCAACAAAACACCGTCAAATTTGAAAGATATAGTTACTCTTCATCGTCTGTGGTACAAGAGTCTTCTGTAATCATCAATCAATAGTGGATTTCCGCAACTGAGCTAGACCCCGTGATTTTTCCCCAGGTTTTTCACGTAAAAACTTCTATAATCATTACTATTTCTATGTGTGTGCAGAACTTTCGTAAAATGCTCCGCGAATTTTCTAGCACGCATCAACATATATTGAAGTCACTCAATTTTTAATTTCACATAAAAATACCATATCACTATTTCTTAAAACTGTAAAATGAACATTTAGTATTACATATGTAAATACATAAAAATTTGTGGTATGTACGTAAATATTGCTAATAATGACGCTCCAAAATTCCTGGTCGACCCGAATTATGGTCGTTGGCACAGCAGCCCTCGTCCCCTTTCTACACGAACGCAGGTGCGGGGTGGCGGCGCAACACAGATAATCGGGAAACAGAGCGGAACTCAGATGAAGCAAAGTACAGCGGAAGGATAACACTGTGGGCGTCTGAGAAGGTGTTCGTTGGGCCCGAGAAGGCTGCTTGCGATTGCCGGTGTTTTTCGAACAAGGAAGGTTGCGTGCCCTATGTCCTCTCTTTTGCATTTTTCATCTTCTTTTTCTGTCATGGTTGTGGAAGCCTGCCTTTAGTTCTTGTCCATGGAGTTCCACTGAATGGAGGAGCTCCACGTTCTAAGTTTTACTTCTTCTTAACGTTTTGAAAGGTTGATTCAAAATGTGTTCTCTAGAATTTTGCATGTATTGTCCTTCAAAGCGAATCTGTTGTATTCAAAGGTTTGCTCGGATTATTAGTCATGAAAAAAGCGAAGAATTTGTCGGTGATGCTTAATTCTTACCTTGAAATGTAAATCCCCCTTTGGTTTGAACATGATCTGTTGTTTCAAAGTTTTTTTTTTCTTTTTAATTTCTTCTTTTTAACACTATTTATGGACATGAATTATGGAATGCTTGGGGATGAGAAGGAATATTCAATTAGTATGGAAGAATTTTACCATTTTTTTTATTTTCTTGCTCTATTTTTGTTCATGTTTCTGATAGTATTTTCTTTGAGAAATTTCGTCAAAAAGCTTGTTTTTTTTTCTGACAGGGGTTGACCAATTCAGTAATATTGGTGTTTAAAGTCTTTCCAGAAGAAATGGCGGCATGTGTTGCATCAAAATGGTCCATGGGTATGTGTTGGTTATCCTTGATCCCTTTTTGTATTTTTCATCGCTCATACTAGAATAAAAGTTGCTCAAGCTCTTTTCCCTTGAAATAGGTTTGACACCCTTATATATGTTGTATTTGTGGCTTCTATTGTAATTAGGGGTAATTAAGTGTTTTGGCTTTATTTACTTGTATGCGCTAGTCCTTCTCTATAAAAGGGACTTAGGGCTTTTGATAGTCATGGTGAGAAGTGCGGAAGTTGTAAACCCTAGTCATTTTCTTTCTCCCCATCCGTTGCTTCTTTCTCCCCATCCAGTGCTAGTGAAATCTCCCTCCCTATGAACGTAGGCAGATCAATTCAATGCCAAACCACATAAATTTTTTGTGTTTGATTGTTGTTGTGTGAATTTCTACATTTCTGCGTTGTTTTTGCATAACACAATCAGTATCAGAGCTTAGATTTCGTAACCGGAACGTGGTTATGTTTCGACAACAGTAAACCGACATGAGTTGTCGATGTTTGTTGTAGCAGATGATCCGACGTGATTTGTCAGCATATTCGGAGGTCTGACAACAGATCGACGACGAGCCGACAACTTGGATGCGAAGATTCAGTGTGTGACAGAGGTATTGCGGCAGCAGGGAGATTCCGACGGGCTTGATGACAACGTTCTGAGGGTAGGTCGTTGTGGTCCGGCAAAAAGGATTGGCCGATAGTAATTGTCACGGCTCTAGTGCGGTCCAACACAGGAAGTTTTTGGCGGAATATTGTGTGGAAAGTATGTAATGGAGAAACAAAGGCTTATAAGGTTTTTAAAAGAAAAAAAGCTTTTGGGAGCAAAAGGGAATTTCAAGAAACTTAAAAAATTCCTTGTGGAACAAGAAAGTTTTTAAAAAAGAAATATAATGTTAAGGAACATTTAGAAAGCTCTTAACAACATCAGAGGGAATTTCAATTCAAATAGCAATTTTTTAAAAAGGAAAAAGTGCAAGCTTTTGAAAATAAATTTCAGAAAAAAAAGAACTTTTACATTTGGCGATGCGAGATGATGAATGTTCTGTGCTCTTTAAATCTGGAGAAAGTCATGGATATCGAGTAATGTTCTTAAGAGATGTCAGAGAGAGATTAATTGAAGATAAACTGAAGTGCTTGTGGCTTGATCGGAAATTGCTTGACTCAAGAAGATGGAGATTTCTTTAGAGAAATTGTTGAGGATGTTGAAAAATAAATATCTCATGTGAAGCGTGGATAACCTTCTTCTAATAAAGCGTCGACTCTACAAGTTTCAAATAAGACAGGGGGTTACTATTGATGAACACTGAAATGATTTCACAAAGTCATTAACAGATCTGTCAAATTTGAATGAGAAAGTTGAAGATGAAGGCGAGACACTCCTTATGTTGAATTCACTCCTAGAGGAGTACTAAAACTTCACTATGATACTCATTAGTAGGAAAGATGTCTCGAATTATGACAAAGTGACTACGAAGTTGTTTAGTCATGAGTTTCATCCAAGAGACAAGAAGTTTGCAAAGATAGAGTCAGTTGAAACACTTACACTCTAATATGACAGATCCGAGAAGAATATGAAAAAATTGACAAAGAAAGGTTACGACGACGACACTTCTCAAAAGTGAGACAAGTCTCATGCCCAGTTTTGGGAAAAATCAGTGTATTTTTTATTTAGAATTAGGTCATTGGAAGAAGGATTGTCTGCATCTGAGGCCAAGGTCAATTTCATTATATAAATTTATGAAGTGACGAATTCAGATGTATTGTTATCTACAGTTTCTCATTGTTTCTTCACAAATGATTCATGTTGGATTCTAGACACATGCGCTACCTATCACATTTATCCTCATCGAGGGTGATTCTGTACATAAAATGAGTAGGATAATGGTTTTGTGACTATGAGCAACTATCAAGCTTGTCGTCTTATTGATAGTGAACATCTTTTTCAGGATACATGATGATACTTTGAGATAACTAACCAATATTAAACATGTTCTAGATATCAAGATGAATTTGTTGTCAGTTGTGGTTTTAGAGTCTAGGCATACAAGGTATTTATTGAGGCAGAAGTTCTGAGGATATGCGTGGAACAATGGTTTTTATGGAGTTTGTTATGATATTCTTTACTATCTTTGGGTAGTATAGTGACTGAAATAGCTGTTGTTGCTGATGATTCTTCTGAAGTCAATATGTTGTGGCATATGCGACTAGCTTATGTTGGAGAGACTTCACTTCAGACTTTGGTGAAATAAGGATTGATCAAAGAAAATATTTGTTGATAATGCTCAGGTGAAGGTGGAATAAAGTATTGAGGATGAGATTCCTGCTCAGGAGTTTATTACTAGGAGCAGGACCAGACACCAGAGTGCCCTAGAGCCAACTTGGTTGTGGGATCATATTACATTTGTTATTACAAAAAAAGCGGTGGAGAGTACAGATTGTGATCTTTGGAAGTGAAAATGGATGAAGAAATATTCTCTTTAGAAAAATAGTACTTGGAGGTTGGTGAAGCTTCCTCCATGAAGGAAAGTCATCGGGTGAAAATTGGTGATTGCGGATAAGAAATGATCTCATGGAGCTGCTGTGCAGTATAAGATAAGATTAATGGCACAAGGCTTTGCACCACGAGAAGGGATTAATTATGACGAGGTGTTTTCTCTAGTGGTCAAACATCCCTTAATCTATTTTCTTTTAACACTTGTAGCACAGTACGATCTGATCTTGAAACAACTTGATATGAATAATGCATTTCTACATGGAGAATTGCAAGAGATCTAGATGTTGTAGTCGTATGTATATGGAGCATCAAAAGACTTGATTTGCAAACTAGACAAATCGCTGTATGGGTTGAAATAGTCACCACGAAAGTGATAAAAAATTTGATTAGTTCATGAGGGTACATGAGTACCCAACAATTGGTGTTGGGGGCAAACTCATGCATAATCCAAGAATAACATTGGTAGATTGAGAAAAGTAATCTAAGGATGTGGATTTGGTGTTTGAGAGACAATCTTTTATTGCAGATTTGTATGTAGGCTAGACTAACACAGACTATGCAGGTGATATGAATATGTAGAGATCTACTACTGGCTATTTATTCACATTGATAGGATGTTCAGTCAGTTTGAGGTATGTTTTTCAGTCTATTATTGATTTATCTACTGCAGAAGCTAAGTACATCACAATCACGGAGATGATGAAGGAAGCGATATGCTTCAGGGCCTATTGAATGACTTGGGAGTTGATTATAAGTTTCTGATGGTGTTATGTGACAGTCAGAGTGCAATTTTCTTGGTCACAAGTATAGTTCACAACGCTCGTACAAATCACATTGATGTGAGTTAACATTTTGTTCAAGACTTGATTGATGACAACAAGGTTCTGCTGAAGAAGATAGGTACAAAGAAAAATCCAACCGACATGCTCATGAAGGTACTATTAGTCCAAAAGTTGACTTACTGTAGAAGTTTGGTGAACATCCGAGCTCAACATTAATTGCCTAGTCGGGCATTTTAAAAAACTACACCAGGCTAGAGGGTGGTACGTAGGCAACCATTTTGATGCGGGTGAATAGGAGTTTGGAGCTCATTGATCATCTCTCACTTGTCTGGAAGTAAGAGATGAGGTAGAAATTGTTGTATTTATGACTTTTATTGTAATTAGGGGTATTTTTTTTTTTTTTGCTTTATTTACTTGTATGGCCTAGGCCTCGTCTATAAAAGGGACTTAAGGCTTATGATTGTCATGATGAGAATTGTTGAAGTTGTAATCTCTAGGCTTTTTTTTTTCTACCCATTTGGTGCTAGTGAGATCTCCCTCCCAATAGATGTAGGCTGATCAATTTAACGTCAAATCACGTAAATTGTTTGTGTTTGATTGCTGTTGTGTGAATTTCTTCGTTTCCATATTATTTTTGCATAACAATGTAGCGCTTGGTAGGGGCAAGTAGAGAATGGGGATTCCTAAATTAGACTCTAAATAAATTTCATACTTTTAACTTGTTGCAGCTCCAAACTTATAGCTATGGCCAAGAGGTTGCTTTTCAAATCCAAACCCAGATAGTTCGGATGAGATTGCTGTTGTTGGTGTTGTTTTTCTTTCTGAATCTGCAACTACTGACATTTTTGGCTGGTTTTTCTCACCAAACATTCCACTAACGGCAGTCCTATATTTTATGTCCGGTGATTGTTTTATGAAGTCTGCTCTTTATGTTTTATGCTACTTCATGTAGTCCTGTTTGATGATACGTTTGGTTGTAAATATACTTCAGTTAAATTTATCTGATAGCCTCTCACCATGTTTATTATTATACTCCTTGCTTTGAACTTCATTTTTTGTGGATATTGACTGATTTTTACCGACAGCCAAAACAAGCAGGGCATGCACAGCTGCTTAAAATTACAGAAAGAATTGATTTTAGACTGTAGAGTGTAGAGAATAACTAGAAGGGGCATTGACTTATTTTTAAGTATAAAGAAGGCAAATTAGCATTTTTCATTTTCAATTTGCCTATTTATGCTTGAGAAAAGCTGCGACTTTGCTAATTTGCTGTATTGAAAACTATGGATCCATGGCTTAGTCGGTATATCTTGTTGACACACTATTGTTTTCCTCACATTTCGTCTTTTCTTCCATTCTGTAATTTTGTGAGATAAAGGTTGCCCATGAAGTATTCCGTCATGTTGCACATTGAGAGCCATAGAAAAGACTTTAACATTATGATGTAACTTGTGTAGATATGGAGTTAAATTGCGATGGATGGGATTGAACGCAGCTTTTAAACAATTCATTTCTGTCACTCTGTTTGCATGAAATTTTATTTCCTTCTAAATTGTCTCTTGACTTGATGTTAGTTCCACATGAGTTTATTTTTAAGGTGGAGTCAACATTGCCTTCTATATATATGCATACTTTTGGTTATTGCAATTTGCACATGCTTCAATAACTGATGACCATTTTTTTCATCGATCTCGTTGTAGCTGTTGGCCGCTCATTGCTGGGGAACCTAAGCAACAATAAACTTGGGTCTCTTGGCAAACCTCATGATATAACAAGCCTCGGGTACAGTGGTCTCTTCTTTCAGGTTTGAGGATTTCCATTTTACTTTTTTTTTTCTTCATTTTTGCGTGTTTGAAGTCTATCTTCATAACGTAACTTCCCGATTTGGACAGATTTTTCCGTTTCGCTCCGCTCTGCTCCGCTTCATGCTTCAATCTAGTTAACTTTCGCGGCTTTCAGATTTTGCTTTAGTTGAGCCTAATTAAATAAACCAAAATGAGCCATACCATAACACATATATTAACCCATTTAAACCCTAAACATTCATATTTATAAGCATATTACTCAAATCTTTAATATCACATATTGAGAAAATTAGGGCGAAGAAAAACAAGAACGACAAAGATTTAACGAGTTCTTCTTTGCTAAAGCAAAGAAAAACAAGAACGACAAAGAAAAACACACAATTCTCATATTGCTTTAGTTCTTCTTTTCCCCTTATTTTTCTCAACAAGTGGTATCAGAAGAAATTTCGTGCGCGGGGAAGAAAACTGCGGCGACGCAGGAAGTAAAAAAATACGCCCATCACTACTTTTTTAAAAGTGAAATACACCTCTTCATGTACATGTTTATGACACTAAAGCGCTATAAGTGTAAACATCAAACTTGGTGTGTTATATATGTAATTACGTAAGAATTGTGAAGCCTGTTTGTAAATTTCCCAAAAAAGAATATTGGGTTTGTAGATGCTTAACACTGGATTAATTTGTATGTTTTCCTTGTATTTTTGCAGCAGCTCAGAACATTCATTCAGATGAGGACAAAATTAAAAGTTGTTGATAACTCTGGTGCAAAGTGGGTTAGGTGCATTCAAGCTTTGAAAGGGAGGAAGGGGGCACGATTAGGTGACACTATAATTGCATCAGTTCAGGAAGCACAACCTCGTGGTAAAGTAAAGAAAGGAGAGGTGGTATATGGCGTTGTTGTCCGTGCAGCCATGCAACGAGGACGCTGTGATGGAAGCGAGGTTAAGTTTGATGACAATGCTGTGGTTCTTGTAAATAAGCAGGGAGAGCCGATAGGGACCAGGGTTTTTGGCCCAGTACCTCATGAACTCAGAAGGAAAAAGCATCTTAAGATTTTGACTCTGGCCGAACATATTGCTTAATGTGGTATGCAGATCTTTGAGGAAGTTTTTTCTATTGAAATTTACGAGTATATTGAACTTCATATTTTCATACAGCATGAACTGGTTCTTGGATAGTGAATGTAGTTGTATGATTTCTATTTTTTACATTCTGATTATTAGAGTATCAAAAGGATAATGGTCCTAAGGGGTGTTTTGCTGCAAGTAGGATTTAGTAAATATGTAAACTTAAATTTGTTAAATCCACCCTAACCTGGATTTAATAAATCTGGATTTAGGCTGGATCGAAAGCATTTGGTTGGTTGGATTCAGTAAATTCGGTAATAAATCCCATTAAAAGCCGTTACCAAACACCCCCAACATTTGTTCTCTCTGAGAGCTTGGCCTTAATATCTATTAAATTTATTCTGTTTGCTTTCCCAGCTATATTGAAATTGTTGGCATTTAAACTCATATTTCATCAAAAAATTGTTCGTGATTTATGTTATTTATTATTACTGTCATTGTTTTTATCTTGAATGAGATTTGAGTTCTTAATTAATCCTACGGAAAAATAATTAAAATGCAATTTGAACGCTATTCAATTTATTCAAAGTTCACAGTTTCTAGAACAAATTATACCTTAAGATTGCGTTAGTTTTGTACGTGGGGCTAAAGGTCGTTGCACATATGATGCTCGGGTGTGGGGTTTGGGGTCATGGTCACAAAAATGGAAATTTTGGATAAATATAGGATAAATATAAATGGTGAACATGATCTTCAGAATAAATTTATAGTGTATATTATTAAAAAAAAATCACATCCACTTCATAATTCAATCAGAGTTCTTAACATGCCATGAAACCTCTTTTTCAAGTACGATAGATTACAGGTTCCATAAAAAGTGATAGGTGCTATACAAATCTTCATAATGTGCTAAGAGGTGGACTCGATAGTTTGCTGTAACGGGTCCAAGTGTCTGTGATGGTCTCTCGCACAAAACATTTACTCTTTAGAAGTTTCTGTGGTTTATAACATTGAATGCCCTTGAGGAAAGTGGTAGTACTGCCATTACTCACCTATCACCATAGAATTTTAAATATATCAAGCTTATCACGCTCTTAACTTTTTGATAATCTTTCTTTCCATCTATGTTAAACTCTTTGATGAAAAATGATGATGAACCCTTACAAAGTCCACCATGATCACAATGGCCTCATCCCCGACAAGCCCAGCTTTGCCCTCAACAATGGTTGCACCCCAATCATTCTTCCCTCGTCGTTGCCTTCATTGATTGCAAACACAGTGTTGTCCGCTCCATCCATTTTATCATCCATGAAAACCTCATATCCCTCCCCACCTTCCTTTCTTCAACCAGCTTTCCCCTCCCCAACCATCTCAAACCCCTCAAGCCCACACTTGCCGAGATTAGAGGAGAAGGGATAGGTTCTATGTTAAATCTATAAATATTGAAATTTACATGTAATAGGAATGCAAATCCTTCTAATCTAATGGATGCAAGTAAAGAGGGTAGCTTTGTCAGATTCAATTTGTTCTGCATCAAATTTTTACCTCTATTATGTGGGGCTAGATGACACTTTGCCCTTTTTACCATCCACAGCATGAAAACTAAAATTTATAATTTTTCATAATTTGTTGTTGTTAGGGGTGTAAACGAGCCGAACACGAGCAAGCTTTATATTTCGAGCTCAAAAAGTGTGTTCGTGTTCGGCTCGTTTGCTTAACGAGCCGAACACGAGTTGTTTACGAACAAAGAGTCCTTTTAACAACCCTAATCATTTAGCCATAAGACATAAGACAATAAGGGTTTGAGCAAGTTTTAAAAATTATTATTTATATTAAAACATCATTTGAATCTAATTTAATGATTTTTATTATATTTTCTTTATCAATATTTTAATTGATTATAAATCTTTGTAACCTTGTAGTAAATTAGACTTTTTTAAAATACTACTTAATATATATATATAAACTTGATGAGTAGTATTTCGAGCCAAAACGAGCCGAACACGAACG